GGCACCGCCAGCCCCCACACGGGACTGCGAAGGCTAAAGGGGTTCCCCGCACATCACACCACCTCTGCCCCTGAACCTGGTGTGACAGGAAGCATGCCATCACAGCCCATCTGGGCCTACTGGGAGGCTGCAAGCTTTGGGGCCAGTCGGGTCCCTCGCCCTGTGGCTGAAGAGGGCCAGGAAGAGATGGAGAAGGGGCACCCTGATATGCATCTGCCCACTCACCTGAAAGCTCAGCCCTCTGTAAACAGAGCTGCTTGGGGCAAGACAGACTCACACTCAGGAAATTCAGCTCACAGCTTCCCTCACAGCCCAGCCTCACAGAGCGCTGGCCAGGCTCTGCGTCCACGGGCACGTGGTCCAGGCTCTGCCCGTGTGGGCTGTAGGCACTTGAACTAGCTCTCCTTCATTCTGGACTGAATGCCTACATGTGAAACACTTCCTGGCACATTGGACATGCTTACTAAGGGTGGGTCAGGACATATTCTGCTCTTCTTGCCAGGCCCGTGATTCCAAGATGGCATGGCAGCTGGCAGCAGAAACCTCCTTCCCCTCCAAGGGTCAAGTGCCCTCCTGTGCTCCTCAGCTGTCTCCCCCATAGGTCTTCCTTTCCCCACTCCCAGGCACCCCACTTTCCTTGAGTGACTTCAACACCCACAGCCTCTTTATGCAACATTCATTCCATAGGCGTCCACTAAGTACCTACTGTGTGCATTGCATTGTGTTACATTCTAGGGCAACAAAGATGATTAAGTTGTGGCCTCAGCACATGAGGCATTTACAGACACATAAACCAACCATTACAGTTCGGGGTAGTTATGAGTAGTGTGAGGGAGGCAATGTAATTTAGTGGTTAGGAGGGAGGGCACTGGAGTCAAACCCCAACCTCACCACTTAACAGCTAGTGACCCTGGGCAGGTTATTTAGATGCTCTGGGCCTCCACTTCCTTCTCTGTAAAATGAAGGTATGAATATCTACCTCATAGGTTTTTTAATGTTAAATGAGATAATTCAGTAAAGCACCTAGTGCAAGGCTTAGGTATAATCAGTGCTCAACTCAAATAGTGTAACGGTAGGAGCTCAATCAAAATGCCTGAAGGTGGAAGAGAGAGATACTAACTGTGCCTAAGTAGTCTTGGAGGGCTTCCTGAAGGAGGTGACATCTGAGCTGTGTATTGGAGGGCTAAGTTGAAGTTTAATAGGTAAAGAAGTGACAGAGGGCTTTCTAGATAAAGGAACAGCACATTACAGATGGGAGGGGGCACAGAAAGAAGAAGGATGTTTGAATATGAAGACGTGGCCCTGTGCTTTGTGTCATACTGCTGGAATCATTGTCACAGCCTGGGAGGCTGGTCCCAGGTGAGCCCTTTAGAACCAGCCATGGGATGGCACAGGTGTACAGAAGGCAGCCTAGAAACCAGTGGCTCTGCCCTGTATTTCTCAGAAAGGAGAGTTAAGATCTCAAACACCCCTGGCCTGGGTATCCACCCAAAACTGAACCCACAGCAGAGCTGGATGCACAGGAAGGCAGCAGAACATGGGAGACGGCAGGACCATGACTCTGGCCCATCTCACCCACTCCAGCCCCTGCAGTCATGAGCCCTAACCCTTCTGCATTGCCTGGGTCTGCTGCGGACAGCCCACAGCCTCCAGCACAGCCCTGGGACACAAGTCGCTTAGTCTATGGGCCGTTGTATTATTAATGAAAAGAGCTGGTTCTGGTCCACACCTTTTTCAGATCTGCTGTCCTTGTCTGTTTTTTCACTTGATAAGAAGCCAGGACTCAAGTGGTCCGGAAGTCCACAGTTCCCTCTCCAGAACACCCTGGGCCTCCCTGGGCCTTGGTCTACATGGGGTCTCTTTCAGCCCTGCAGACCCAGCCCTCCTCCTGCCCAAGCCAGAGCTGGGGGGCGGGGGGCAGGTTTCCATCCCCCACACCTAGCCCCTCAACACAACCTCAGTTCTTCCTTTCCTCATGAAACCCCAGACCTTTCCCTCTGAGGCAAGTCTTTGGTCACCTTATAAAATATCCCAGATGCTGGGAGAGTGCTACCCACCCTGCCACAGCAGGGACAGGGCGGGCCAGCCCAGGCCCTGCGTCCCCTCCCTCCCTCATCAAACAGTGACCACGGTGTCTGCCCCCATCCATCGGGGCCTGCTGTGAGGTAGGCACTTGGCGTGTGGTACTCTCACAACAGCCCTGAGGAGCAGGTATCTTTACGGCCATAAGGCAGACAGTCCGAGGGAGGTTAGTTAAAGAAGTGGTCGAAGGCATACAACCAGGCAAGTGGAAACGGGGGTTCTGGGTCTCCTCTGTCTATTTCCAGTTCCCACCCACCCACCCATCCACCTTTACACCAACTAGACCAGGGGCAGCAAACTATAGGCCACAGGCCACATCCACCTGTTTTTGTAGGACCTGTGAGCTAAGAATGCTTTTTACATTTTTGAAGAGTGGTAAGAAAAACAAGCAGAAAGCATGTGACCAAAATCATATGTGGCCCACGGGCCCCAATATTTACTACCCAGGCCTTGACAGAAAGTTTGCAGACCCTGCACTAGAGCCCATGAACGTTCGATTTGGTGCCAGACATTGGGTGCTAGAGATGCCAAGTGAGAAAGCCACGCTAAGGAAGACTGACCTGTGACCAGGACAATCCTGATGCATGACCCAGAGCTCCAAACCCATTTTTAAAAAGGTCTTATTAGAGATGAAATTGGGGGAAAGGGAACACCAGGAGTTCCTCTCTATGCAGTTTATGATGGCATATTTCCCACGCGATGTCTATTTCATGTAGTTAGTATCCCCGTTTTTTGAGTGAAAAATGGAAAAGCTGAGAGGTGAAATGACTAATTTGGGGGCTCCTGGTGCATATTCTCCCCAGGACCCATGGCCTCAAGGCTAGGGTTCTGTCCATCGCCCCACAGCTGCCTCTGAGCCCCAGGACACCTGGGAGGGAAGCGGGGACCAGGGGCAGACGCAGGGCAGCAGGAGACTGGCCACGTGGGGAGCAACTGTGGTGACTGTTAGTCCCTGCTGCCTCCCTCTCTTCATGAAGACTGGATTCGTACACATCTCAGATTTCCTTTTCCAACACAAGCATCTTGGAGCTGTTTCAGCCACTGAGTCACCCCTCAAGAACACCCCAATTTTCTTTATCTCGGGGGTGACTCTAGCTCACACCCATCAAGCTAAGTAACAGTCCCAGTTCTCCTGCCAGCTGGCTGTGTGACTAGGGCAGGCCACTGTCCCACTCTGTGCCTCCCTTTCCTCCCCAGGAAATGGAGTCAATGGTCCTCCCCCTCCCCCCGCCCTCCCCCCTCCCTTAGCCCACATGGGCTGTGTGAGAGTGAATGAGATCATGTCTGTGTGCTGCTTGGCGGAAGGAAGCAGCAGGAGGAGTACAAGGCAGCATTATTTTCTGAGTCGAGTTGGGCAGGTGCCATGAAGTTGCTGTGATGCTTGAGCATTTCAAAGGCCTCTGAACTCCTCGGGAATCTATGGGCGGGCAGTATGTGAGAACCAGCTTGAGCTTCCGAGTCACTGGGCTATGAGATCAAGCCCAGCTCAGCCACTTCCCGGCTTCGGCAAACCACCCAGCCACTTTCGGCATTTCCTCACCTGTGAAATGGGAGCGATCCCAACGACCAGGGGCTGTTTGGTTAAGGGCAAAATAAATCATCTCTGGCGCTCATCATCATGAATGTGTGGGCCTGTCAGACTCTTCGCTGGGTTTCTCTATGAACTGTCTCCACGTAAGCGCAGACGCCCTCCACCCATGTGTCTCTCCGGCAGCCTTCCGCAGCAGGCCTGGGCTCACTTACCAAGCACCTCCTTTGGGAAAAGAAACGTGGAGAACTGAGCTAGGGAGCACAGCCCTCTCCCAGGCGTCGCCCAGGCAGCTGGCGACCTGCAGGGCCAGGGGTGTAAGGCCAGGGACTGGGTGAGGCCAGATGTTCCCTGCAGCCCTTCCCCCTTGGGGAGTGGTGGAGAGAGGCCCCTGTCCAGGGGCAGCAGGCCATGGCCCCCACAGCACCGGGTGGTAGTGGGTCTTGGGGGCAGGCGTAAATGAACTCTCTCCGTGGCCTCTTTTTGTAGGACAGGAAGAGGCAGAAAGGTGGGGGCTGGACGCACGTGGAAACAGTCTAAGTGGGAAGGACTGGTGATGGGGCGTGGTTGAGGTTGACGGAGTGAGGCCAGCAGGGAAGCGGAGAGATCCCTCCAGCAGAGGGGGTGAGAAGCAGCCACAAACAGGCCGAGGCCTCCTGCAGCTAACAGCAAAGCTGCCGAGCCAATCTGGCCCAGGCGCTCTGAATTAGTCACCAGTTTTGACAAGGAGTGAAGAGGGTTACATAACCGCCTTCCTTGCTCTCCACTGGCTCTCCTGAGCTGGGCTCTCCAGGTGAAGGGTCTGGGGCAGGCAGGACCTGGGAGCCCCCAGGGCTAAGGTGTCCACACAAGCCCTTCCCAGGCCTGCGCTAGCCCTGCAGGGCCAGAAGGAGGCGCCAGCCGTTCACCTCCTGTCTGCGTCTCTGCTACCTGGCCTCCCAAACAATCCCATGCTGGTCTTGTAACCCAGGATGCTAGTCCTTCGTAGGGAACATGCCCCAGACAAGAAATTCATGTTTCTCAGCTCATGGCACCTCCGTAGCATTCTGAGCACTCCCAGCCCACTTTCCCTACTGAATTTATTATATGGCACCACCATAATAATTATCAGTAAGCATATAGTAAGCACCTCTGTGAGACCCTGTTCAAGGCATTGTCGAGGCTACAAAGATGAGTAAGACACAGAAGTGCAGCAGCAGAAGGGGCTTGGGATTCTAAGGCCTTTCCTCCGAAGGGCAGAGCACTCTCTCCCAGAGGAACGCTAAGCCACTGGCCACTAACCGCTGGGGGTCACACTCAATCCCTCTGTGAGGATTGGAGTCACCAGCCTTGACCTGAGACATACCGCGTACAGTGCAGGCTTCTTATAACCAAATTTTCTTGCTTATTTATTCATTCCCCTGCACATGACTGAATTACAAAAAAATAAATATTTCACAATATTAACAATGGGGGATGGCAATGATGATGATGATGACAATGATGAAAATAATGTGAGAGGCGAGTATACACGTCCTGTTTTGGCTTCAAGCCCTTGGGACTTGAATCCTTCCTTCCTTCCCACTGGCACTTCTGTTACACTCGCTGGATAATAGAAAACAGGAGTCGGAGCTTGAGAAGTTTAAGACTCATTCACACAGACCTTCTGGCTCCAAGCAGGACTCGACTCTCTCATCCAGGAAGAGTCACTACTGCCGCGAGGGGTGGGAAAAAGAGTCAGTGAGTGGGAAGGGGCCCCCTCTGGCCTCTCCTCTCTTTCCCAAGCCTAAGTTAAGGGAAAGTCCCCAGCCCAGACTCTCAGGGGACAGTGAAAACATCAAGGGCCATATTTCCTACTCATCATCCTACCAGGCTTATGACTATTAACACTGGAAGAGATCTCAGAGGTCATCTAGTCCAGCTTTCCCATTGTACAGGTGAAAAAACCGAGGCCAAAGAGTAGAAATGACTCACCCATGGCCACAGTAGTTCTGAGACTCAAACTCCCATCTCCTTTCATTACAATGTGAAAACCAGCCGGAGAGAGGTGATGGCGGCGGGGGTTAAGGGGTGGGGATAGATGTGGGGGAACCATCGGCCCTCCCTACTTACAGAGCTCCATGTGACCCATAATTCCTGCCTCTCTGGCTCGACACCAGGAAGGTAACAGCTTTGCACAGAAGAAGGGGCAACTGCCCCAACCGCACATGCAAATGGTCATGATGCCAAGTCCCTGCATACAGTTTCTAGAACAATGAGCCCTTCCTCTCTGCTCAGCTTCCTAGGAAAGAGCTAACAGGGGAAGCAAGCAAATTCCTGATAAAAGGCCACCCAGCTTCTATCTCCCAAATATCTCTCCGGGTGTCTTCTTGGGACAAACTCTCAGAGCAAGACTTAAAGCCAATTAGAGACAATTACAGGATTAATAGGAAACTTGGGGTCAGTCAGTTTGAGACACAAAATCATTTCCTCATTCAATAAACATCTACAGCATCTCCTGTGTGGGGGCTCAGTTATGAAGGAGATAGGGTCGCTGATCTTAGTACACCTGCAGTCCAGAAGGTAAGAAGCCTTGGGGGCACCGAGAAGGGAAGAGCCTCCATTCACTAGGGAGAGGTGGGGTTGGCAGCTTTACTGGGAGAGGCGGTAGGACACACGGACCCTGGGCACTCTGGCCTCATGAAAAGCCAGAGCCCATCCTGAGCAGATGCAACCTGACCTGTTTGCTTCCATTTTCCACTTTGCCCTTTGTCCCTGCTCTCCTCCCGAGCTCAGCAACCCCTAGCTCCAGCCTCTATCTTCAGACTTTCCTTTTCCATCATTTTCCCTATTTGGGACCCAAACCCAGTCCACACCCCATCAGTGAGCCGGTAGACTGAGTGTAGAGATTGTGAGGAGGAGCCCCACCAGACTCACCCAGACAGATGTGCTCTGTTCCCTGCACAGCTGTCCCAGCAACCCATCTGTACTCACTTCCTGCCTCCCAGCTCCAGCCCCTCACACCTCCACTCAGGGGTGGGGAAGCCTGGTCTAAAAGCCATTGTTGAGGCTGCTGGCAGCACAGCAAAGCCTGGAGGCCACGACCCAGGCTCCCGCCCTCCACAGGAATGGGGGCCGGGGCAGGACTGCAGCAAGGTGGTCACCCTGGAGGGCTCTGCCTTGGAGGCCAACCCCAGCTTCTAGGCAGCTGTGGGAACTGCCCAGCTCTCGAGTCCTCCCAGCACCATTTGTCCATGTGCGGTACACCAGCAGTACTGCAGGTGCGGTGCCGTTATTTTGTCAAGACTTAAGAAGTCTGCTTTGCGCTTAGCTAGATGTTCTCCAAGAGAAGAAAAGACTGTTTTAAAAAAGTATGATGCAAAAAAGATGTCCCTGCTAGGAATCTGTCCTCATGCCCAGGAATCGTTGACTCCTTGACAAAATCCATAGTGGCTCCCCCAGTTTCCATGCTGGGAGGTGGTGGGAATGGGAAGTCGCCTGAGGAGGTGACTGCTCTGGAAAGCTGCATGTTTCCGGGGTGCTCACAGCTCCCTCCTGGCTCCTCAGCAGGAGCGTGGGGAAGGTGCGGGCAGCTCTGCGGCTCCCAGGGCCGAACACTCAACCCAGAGCCTTCTCTTCAATCCTGTGTCCTAATGCACTGAAAGTGAGGCAGAATGATGATAAATTGTCCCTTTTCCTGGAAATAGAAATGTCTTAGGAGTATGCACAAAGGCCAGAATCCTACATCTCCTGAACAGTGGGATGGGAACTGGGAACTGGCTTCTCCAGGCAGAAATGAGCCCCCAGGACAAGGGCTGGCGCCCAGAACAAGAGCTCACCCAACTGTCCAGGCGCAAGAGGGGCCTGCCTTCCTTGGCCGCCGTCTTAGATGAGGGCAAATCCCAGTTCCCGTGCTCTCCCACCACACCACAGACACGCAGCCTTGGATAGGACTTTAGGTGAGGGCAGGGCTGGCCTTTGTGCCGGGCGGCTGGCGCTGATTCGGGTGTTTTTAAATTGCTCTCTTAAGATGAGCTTCCTCAGGGTGACCAGACAACCCATAGACTTGGGTGACTTTTTATTTTCAAAGTGTTTTGTTAAGTATCTAAGGCAGAAAATTTCTCTCACAGAGATATAAATGGTCACCATTTTTCCACTCTGCTAATCTGGCCACCGTAACTGTGACGGAGTCCCTGAGATTCAGGTCCTAACCTGAAAACTCTGGTCACCCGATAAGCGTGAGCCTAATATAACAGAGAGAGAAGAGGGGTGAGTCGACGGCTGATGACGAGAGGATGGATGCCAGCCGGGCAGGCGGGCTGAGAAGCCAGCCGCAGGCAGAGCCCCATCCTTGCACGGGGCCTTTGAGGCAGGCTACTGGGCCAAAGGAGGTGCTGCTTTGTTTTAAGAATACTCAATTTAGGCTCGAAACATACCTGTGATGTCAACCCTAAGCTTTCCTTAAACGCAAATATGTAGACAGGGAGGAGGGGCCTCCGCCTCCAAGGCAAGGATTCCACCAGCCCGCCAATGACTGGGGTTTCTCTCTCTCTTCCTACTACCGATTTCAGAGAAAGGGGAAATCCATACTCACACATTCGCCTAGATTCTTCCACTAGTTCATCACGACAGGGAACCCGAGGCCTAGGATCGAAGAGATGTCCCTGAGTATCACACGCAAGGTACCTAGGCAACCGGGGCTCAGAGGGAAGGGACAGGGCTTCATGCTGAACACCCGCAAGGCCCACAAGTTGTCTCTGGGAACCTCAGAGGTCCCCAGGTCTCACACGGGCATAACAAGGCTTCTGAGTGGACCCCAGCCTTTGCTCTCTTAATCTGGGGTCCTTAGTTCGGGGTGGCCGTCCTGGCCCACCCCAACCCTACCTGGAAGCAAGGGGCTTGACCTTGGAACCCCTGCAGCAGAGATCGCCTGGGACAGATTTCACAACCCAGCGCTGAGTTTTACTACAAGTTTCAGACAAAGAAGGTGTGTCGGAGCCGAAAGCATGCTTCTGCCCGCTGTGTGGGCGTCGAGTTCAATACCTTCTTGTCAACACTTGAATGTGTTGAACATCACTCACAAGGGCATTCTTTAAGAAACCTATTAACTTAATTACCCAGGCATTTTTTTTCTCTCCCCCCCCCCCCCCCCGTCCATGCATCTCATATAAAAGTTGGCTTTCTTCCTTTCTGAGATACTTTTGATATAACTCCTCTCCCCTGGCACAGCACCATCTTGTTTACCTCTCTAGTTAGTCGGGGTGGCTGCGCTGTGCAGACTGACTCCTTGGCTTAGGTCTTAGCACTGAAGGAAGTCCTGAGAGAGCAAAGCGGGACCCTCGGGATGGGGGAACGGGGCATCTGGCATCCTCCTTCCCAACTGCCCAGCAAGAGTGGAAATGCGGAGGATGACAGCAGGGAAGGAACAAGCCAAGGTCTACCAGGGTAAGCCCCTCCTTCCTACAGAAGGTGAGAGAGGAGTCACCAGAGATTCAGGTCAATCAACAGTCATTTATTAAATACCAGCCATGTGCCCAGAACCATCCACCTGGATATTGGAAGAAGAGAAACTTCCAAATTCCAGCTCCTTTGCACATTCAAGATCCTGGGGGAAAAAGAAGAGTTAATTTGTTATGAATTATCTCACACTGGGAATCAGTAAAATGAGGTTCTAGACCAGCCGTGGGCAAACTACGGCCCGCGGGCCGGATCAGGCCCATTTGAAATGAATAAAACTAAAAAAAAAAAAAAAAAAAAAAAAAAAGACCGTACCCTTTTATGTAATGATGTTTACTTTGAATTTATATTAGTTCACACAAACACTCCATCCATGCTTTTGTTCCGGCCCTCCGGTCCAGTTTAAGAACCCATTGTGGCCCTCGAGTCAAAAAGTTTGCCCACCCCTGTTCTAGACCCTATAAGTCAGGATAGGGAAAATTTTTTCTACCAAGGGCCATTTTGGGTACTTATAATATCATTTTTGGGCCATACCGAATTATCAACTTAAAAATTAGCCTGCCGTATTTGGTCAAACATTTAATCAACTCACCCTAATGCCTTGGCAGGGCCAGACCAAATGACTTCGTGGGCCTTATACGGCCCTCCCGCTGGATGTTCCCCACCCCTGCCAAAGTGGTCCTGTGGTGCCGGGGCCCTGCATTGTTTGTTCAGTAAAATGCAGAGAGTGGACCTCGCTAAAGGATTCCCATACCCCCTTCAGATCTCTGCATCCATGGCTCATCTGGGCTTCCACAGCTGTCTGCAGCTGCCCACTCTATAGGGAATCTGATCAAGGAAGGGGAGGCATGGCAATGTTCAGACCAAGAGGCAAATGGGGATCATCTTGGAGAGGCATAGGCTGCATTTGGTGTCCGTGCCCTAGAGAGTGAGTCCCTGTCCAGGGAGAGAGGAGACAGAAAGAGGCGGGGGCTGGGGAAGGCATGCTTCCACCTCTAGCAGGGTAGGGAGAGATTCCAGGGAGATAGTTGTGCTTTTATGACTGACGTTACATAGAGGAGGGCTCTTGTCCACAGATTTAAGCAAAAAGAGCTACACAGAGGCCCCCAAAGATGCATGGGGGAGGTACCAACCAGCCAGACCTCAGGCTCTCTCTCATTCACTGTATTGTGGGAAATCTGGCAGCAACTATAATGATGGAGGAACACATCCCATGGCTTTCTTGCCAAGACCACGCGTAACTAAAGAGCAACTTGCAGACCTTTCCAACTATCCCCACTCTCATACCTACTTCCAGGGAAGTGAAAACACGGGGGCAAATTCAGAAAGTCCATCAGAGCTTTGTGGGGTACCATCTTCTATACCCACCCAACAGTAGGCCTCCCAAACTCTCAATGGACCAATGTAGGTCCGCAGAACCAAGAGACAGTGATGTGGTGAGTCCTTTGCATGAATTGACAGAGAAGGGACCCAACAGGTCCTCTGGTCCAGCTCCCTGGCTCCAGGCTGGTCTGCTTCTAAATCACTCACTTGTGGAGGCCTCTCTGTTGTCCTGGAGTACACAGTGATGGCAGAGAAAGACCCAGTGTGCAGTCAGAGCCCCATAGCTTCCAGGTAGGGCTCTTTTTTCCTGGGAAACTCTTGCTTGTGGGGAACCCCAAGAATACCTGAAGTTGTCTCCACCCACCTGTCTGACTCAGGGCTGACTAAAGCCTGGTGACCTCTGATTCACACAATCACACACACACACACACACACACACACACACACACACACGCCCCCATTCCTCACTCATCCCAGAGACCACCTCTATCTGCATGCAGTCTAGTGCAGAAGAATGTTAGGGAAGGGCAGAACTGCTGGAGGACTGGGATTTGACCCTAAGCACCTTAAAGTGGGGAAATTAGGATCACAAGCCCTCAGTGCCCTGTCCCCCAAGGCATCTCGCATGCAGTTTCGCTCTGATGCAACTCTCCGCCAGGCGGGTTCTATAACCTGAGATCCCTGGAGGCTTGGGCACCTTCCGGGGCAGACGAGAAGGCAGCCTCTTCTCTCTGTTGGCCATGTCCCTCCACCTCAGCCACAGGCTTGGAGCCTCCATCACACTCAAGGATTCCTCTCTTGGGGAATCTCCCCCTTCTTCCTGATGTTGGGGGGGAATCTGCAGCAGAGGCTTGGACAGGGGCAAAGCAGCAAAGGTTAATTTATCTCCCTTTCCCACACAGTGTAGTGTGTGCAGTGTGTCCAAGTTGTCCAAGTTGACTAAGAGGCGAAGCATTGCATAAGCTAGGGTCCTGGTCCTGGCAAAGCCCCTCCTCCTGCCTCCACCCAAGCTGGAACAGACATCCCTCCAGTGCCAGGGCCCACAGCTCAGCGGGGAGCAGGCACATGCGCGCTCACACACTTACACATTCCCTAAGAAAGCCCCCGGGGCCTCTGTGGGAAGGCTTTCCGGATACTTTTATGGCAAAAGAGGAAGTCTGGGGCATCACTGGAACAGCCCCGAGCCAGGGAGCAGGCAAACACTGCCAACAGTGGAGTCAGGCTGCAACCTCTCCTAATGACAGAGCCTTTAACCCTTTTCTCCACCCAGGATGCTGTTAGGCTCGATAAGCAGGATCCCCTGGGGTCTCACTGCTGTCCCTCATAGCCCCCTTCCCAGACGTGCAGACATATCTATGCACACACACACACACACACACACACGCACACACACACACACACACACACACACACACTGCCTGTCCTGGTGCTCAAACTGACTCACCAGATCTGATCAGAGCAGGCTGTGACCCAAAGAAGCATGTAACTTAGAGCTGAAAGGAAGCCTGGAAGTTTGCAAGAAATTATCCTCATTATTTTACATAAGAGGCCACTGAGTCTCACAGATCCAGTGGCAGGGTCACCTAGCTCTAAGGCCTCTAGGGTCTCTCACAAGTTGCAGATCAGGATACTGAGTAGAAAGGCATTTGGGGGAGGGGTCAGGGCCTAGACAGAGGTCGGGGTGCCTCCAGGGATCTCCTGGGAGTCCAGCACTCAGTATCACTTAGAGCTCTGATGTCCAGTTCAGTGGCCACTAGTCTAAAATGAAAATTAATTAAAATGTAATGAAATGTTTAAACCTACAGTTCCTTGGTAGCACTAGCTACACTGAAGTGGCCAGCAGGTGCTGTATGGGACAGTCAGAGCCGGAACATTTCCTCCATCACAGAATGGAATGGGCGGTGCTGATCAGGAGCTGTTTCCTGATAGAGGGCTGGGGTACCCCGTGAAGGAGGGAGAGGAGGAGAGGGGTGCAGGGAAAGAGTCTGGAGAGAGGCAGAGGAGGAGGCTGGAATAAGACAGGAGGGGAAGGAGAAATCTGGTGGCTTTCTCCTGTGGCAGAGATCTAACCAACTGTCCCTAGTCCCGTGGGCCTGACACTGCCCCCCAACCCTACTCCAGAAGGGCCAGAAAACAGAATCACAGACCGGCAGCCAGGGCCTGCAGATACACATCTGGTCATTTCCAGACCTAACAGCCCAACTGTCCCCAGACTGCTCAGCCCTGGTGCCCAGGGCTCTTCATCACGCAGGACAGCTCCACCGCTGAGCACCTGGATTCCCAGAGAGGTGGTCCTGCTGGCCCTGCTTCCAACGGAGGGCACAGCAAGCAGGGAGGACCCTGCGGCCCTTTCACAGGTCACTGCAGCAAAAAAAAATGTTTCTTGGACAAAAGGAAGAAAAGAAAGGAAGGAAGGAAAGAGGAAGGGAGGGAGGGAGGGAGGGAGGGAGGGAGGGAGGGAGGGAGGGAGGGAGGGAGGGAGGGAGGGGAATGTAGTGAAATGAGACTGCTTCTCCTGCCACAAGTTGGGTGCATTTTTCAAGCCAGAGGACAACACCTTGATGCGATTCCACAGACACGGAGTCCATTTTGTCACTTTCTCCCACATTCTTAAGCAAACATTTGAGAGACAGCACTGAGCTGAGCAAAGAGAATTATGTCTGAAATCACAATACCTGGGTTTACTTCCAGTTCTGCTACCTAATGACTTGGACAAGTCGCTGCTCCCCCAGCCTCAGTTTCCTGCCTTGCCCGGCCGTTGGGATGACCAAGGGCAGTAGTGGATGTGGATCCCATGGACAAGGCAGTGTGTGTCAGACCCTCCCCTCTGCCCCAGGCACTTACTGTGAGCAGGCGAGAGGCTAAGTGGGACCTGGGGCAGCGCTTTTTCTGCCCTCCAATGTGAGGGGGCCATTGCCTCTTAAGGGGAGGAAGGTGGGAGGTTCTTGGGATCCTCTGCCCTCCGTGGACCCCAATTATCTACAGATGGCCTGGAGGCAGGGCTGGGCCAGCGCTCCGATGGGAACGCTGAGGCTACAGGCTGACTCATTAATGAGTTCTTGCCACTGGCAGACCCTGGCATGGTGGTCCGTGGCTCCTGCCCAAGCTCTGACCAGAAGAGCGGCTAGGCGGCTCCAGAACTCTGTCTCTCCATCCTCAGGGGGTT